TTATAGACTTTCTCTTTTTCTTAATTCCTTTTCTTTCTATAATTTTTTTCAAACCTTTCTTCCTTTCATTTTTCATTACTTTTCTTCTTTCTCCCAATACCCAAACGTTTCTTTCATTCAAATCAGTGTCCCTTTTCATTTCTTCCCTTGATATCTCAACCTTTTAATTCCCTTTTCTTTTCCCATTTTGTTCCCTTTTCCCCATTGTTTCTATTTCTATTTACTCACTTCAAAAGCCATGACATGATCTTTTACTGCAGGGACTTCTCCTTGTGATTCATCTCCTGCCAAGTCTATTCCAACGACACCTGCATCTCGGTATTCATTACACAACTTCAAAATATCAAATGACCATTCTAAGATCAAATTAAAAATAGAAAATTATTATAAGTTTTWACAAAACCATTAGGAATACCAGGGCCCATGCATGCAATGCATTTTGCACTCATTCCATAACTTGTTTTACTACCAGTGATTTACTTGCATGCATCAAGTCATAGGGTAAATGTCTTATACTTGGGTCTGCAGTAAGTGGCTAACACTGTTGCAGTTTCCTTGCCATACCTAGCTTGTAACTCCTAATGTTTTTAGTATGGCAAAGCAAATAAATATATAAATAAGTAAACAAACAAACAAATGAATGTTGAAAAAAAGGAAGGAAGGAAAGCATTCCAGTTTACAAGAATTATGTGTGAGGCTGATCTGTAAGGTTATTTACAATGACAAGTCAATCTTAATGCTCATACTGATTGGAATGAATACTTTATACCAAATATCTAGCATTAGTCTACAAAGACACTATAGCTCTGAATCTATTTTTGATATTTACAGTCAAACCACCTAAAGGGTAGAGGTCATTAGTGACTTTATTTTTGGATTCTTGATTTCGTTCTTCGATTTCATTCATTATTGAAATGAAGTCTTCAAAGCCTAGGATGTACAAAAGCCAAGCATATATGCAGCTGAAATGCAAGAGTAACTCTTTGTGMAAGGAATATGTAATATTAATGACTTACCTTCTGTTTCCGCTATAAACAAGAGCCTATGAGCCATTAAGTTAATCAAATTTTCAAACTATTCTTTATTTTTCRAATATTGAAGTCTTTGTTTCAATGATGAATRTTCAGATCGAATAATGAAATCAAGAATCCAAAAATAAAGTCATTAATGAGGTCTACGTGTTCACTCTTCAGKTGGTTTGACTGTAAGTTTTCACGCATTTTTAAATTTCTCCTACCTGGTTTATGCCTCATACAGCACAAAATAGACTTTGCAATGATATTAAAGTCCACTTGTCCTTGCCGCAACCCTCTATTAACTGCAGCAACAACTTTAGAAGGTGTGACATTCAATTCCCTAGTCTCTTTTATCCCATCAAACCCACAGGAGGCAAGTAAGTGAGGACAATATCTGGTTTCAAAGTARAACACCCCACAATTTGCTTGGTCCTCACAGAATTCATATGCAATTCTYTCAATGGCTCTTTCATCTCCCCTGCAAAATTAAAAATTAAGAAATATGAGTTTCCYRCTTTAGATACTTTGATCTAAATAGAGAAGAGCATAGGAAACTACACTAGTGTCCAATGCAATATGGAACCTATATTAAGTGGGCCTTAGTTTTTAATAAAATAGGAGGCTTATGAAAAATCACCTCTTATTAGACATTTTTTGAGTTCCAAATTATTGCTGTGTTCCTTGATCCTTTACTCAGGGTTTAAACCTCGTATCAGTCTAAATATTCACAAATACCAATGGTAAAGTAAAGAAAGCACAACTTCAACAATACAAAAATTTTGAAATTCCACTGACATTTAATGGAACACATGAACATTCTGCACAAGGCTTAGGCTAACCCTGAGCAACAGACAACTTGAAACTAGTACTTGAGTATGTAGGAACAAATTTCCTATATTTTAGATACATGTGTATATGTCTAAAGATGGCATTTGTCCTAGTTTGTAATCCACCCTTCCCTCCCTGAGTAATTATCATACTTACTTGATGATTGGGATAAATATTTTGAAACAATTCAAAAATTTTTCCAGAGTTGGTTTAGATCTTTTTTTCAAATGAATGCTCACATGTTTTTTTAGTTCTGTTGGAGTATAAGCTGGTAAACTTATACCCTTTTCTCTACAAAAGAAGAAAAAATCATTAAAAGCAATGTCCCTAATTTAAATAAATAGAATACAGGATTGTAAAACATTATTTTTTGAAACYTGATTTGACTATTTTTATTTTTTGTGAAACATGGAATCATTCTTTATTATTGTGTGAAACGTGATTTGACTGTTTTATTCCCCTGAAACATGAATTTGTACCTCACTTTATATCTTTACCATAAACCCTGAAAAAAGGTAGATTTATTTAACAATCTTAGGTCTGGTATTAGTCATAAATAGTCATAAACTAGTTAATGATAAAAAGGTAAATTATAAATCTTTTCACGGTGTATAATTTACCTTTTTATCATTATTGTTTCATTAGAAACACCGACTCAGCTCACACTAGTTTTTAGCTAGTTATATCTTCAGTCATAAACTAGTGTTAGTGGATGTACAGAGAATGATTCCCCTAAATCGTAAAATAACTAATTATAATAATAACAATCCTTTAAAGCATGTGGGGGCAAACAAAATTTAATTTAGTATGAATACTGGTCTTTTTTTGGTCCATTTTCACATACACTACCATATATTAAGAGCTAGGCGATTACATGGACCAATTTTCTCTGTAGCTTGTCTTGCAACAGCTTTGCAATACAAGTTGCAAGAGTGTTAAGATGGTGCAATGGAGGTGCAATTGTTGCCAAAAGTTAGAAACAAATTATACTTTTAGCAGTAATAGCTGCAACTTGTGTCACAACATTTTTTCAAATTGTGCAAAAGAATACATGCTGCAATGCTCCATAATGCAACGTGTGTCCTAATCCTCTTGCAAGACAAGTTGCAGCAAAATTGCTCCATGTAATTGCTTCAATCTTTACTCGCATGTTGATTACTGTGTTAGGAGAAAACAGGAAAAATAATAAATTAAAGTGTATATCACGAAATGTGTTTTTCTTGCAAGATAAACATATCATAAACTTTGCTCYGTATTTGAGTTCAATCAATCCCAAAGAATTTCATAGGTTATTCTGAAGACAGGATTCAAGGCCAAACATCATAAGATTTAATAGATTACCATGTGGCAATTATATGTAACTAAATGATTTAACATGTGACAATTTATTTTAAAATAGTATCCCACCCCTCCCCTCCATCTCTCTCCTCTCCTCCTCTCTCTCTCATTCAATCCTTTTCCAAATTAAAAKAATTGAAAATACAAATTTGCTTAGGAAGTTATTTGGGAAGTTATAGTAGTGAGTGGGATGTCCCTTAACTTTTCATATGTTGTAGCTAGCGCTCTTCCTGTTTCTGTTAAATTAATAATATTACAAAGTAAATTTTAAATTCTTTTGTTGCCAACKTGAAGATGAAACGACCCACAAATAAATCAAAACATTAGAAATAAAATCAGAATGTTCATTATATTGAAACGACCCAGTACTAAAGTCTCCTGTTAATAATAAAGTACATGCCTGTACAAGACAAAATTGATGCTAAGGATATCAAATATCAATATGGAGTTTTATGAGTCCGAACAAGGTTCTTCCAAGAAGGGGACTCCCCGGCCTCGCCTCTCCCCCTATAAGTAATACAATATGATAGAGGAAATCCCTTTGGAATCAACGAATCTGTCAATCAAGGCGGTACTTAATATGAAAAATAAATGAGGGCTATTCTATGCCTGTTCCAGCACAAATTCAAAAACGAAAGTGAAAGAGGAAGCGAACCATCCCTGTGATCTGGTCTAGGTGTCTAGATATACGTTGTGGTATGGGTAAATCAGTCATAGAAGCTCGTCAAAAGAAAGAGGATACGATAATACGTACAATTTTTAAAGAGTCTGGTATAAATTATCCAAAACACAAGCAAACGATTCACAAACCTTGCAAGCTCAATGATCGTYGTTAACCGTAAAGCCCCGTCTAGATGTACGTGAAGTTCGACCTTCAAAAAAGTACAAAAATCTTTACTTTTCACGAACRGACATAGCACCACAATTCCATGAATATTGCCTCTAATGAGTGATACATTTAGCTTACTTTCGATTTACGTAGATTAATGGAAGGGGCCATTTTAGTGTCGACTGCATGTGAATGTTGTCGACATTGGTCCCAAATGACTCGAAATAGGAATCTCATCGACAAAGCGAAACTAAAACACARTCCAATCATCCAATCAGAATAAAGCTTATATGGAAAATGACGTGTCTTGACTGGTTTCCTAGAAATTGGTGCCGAAAAATCCACGAGAGGTTTAGGGTGCTAATTTATGCAATAATTTTTTATCTCGAGAAACATTATAAATAAACAAAAGGACAATAAGTGGTGTTCGGCTAATTCTGTTAGTACTTGAGGGGGGAGGGGGAGGGRAGGGAAGCTTTCTTGAGCTCGAAATGAAAGAATATATAAATCTGTAAAAACCCTACTACATGCAAAAAATCTTTTATGTTGTTTTAAACATTTTTCTTTTTCGTTTTTTTCTTTTCTTTTCTTTGAGTAGGTTATTTTCTGAAAATTGAATTTCCTTTAGGTACCAGGTTTCCTCGATTAATTTATATTACAGGAAGCCCAAATTYCCACTATTTCGACTCAAAAACCAATATGGCGGTGAGAGCATGGAGGTTGTATCAGAGGATACTCATATCACATCCCTGGAAAACACAAACATTGACCGTAGGTAAATGGAGAAGCCCTTTATAATTTACTATAGTTTGGCTGGGAATATTTGACTTAAAACATTAGGTATWTTTTACCAATGATTTCACTTTCCCCTATTGATGACTTTACGGCAACTTGTCAGATTGGGGACACTGTCGTCTCCCATAAAAAGATGTGTGGTGGGATGATATTKAAAAATAGAATAATTGACTAGTAAATATTCCCGTTTGACCCAGCCATTTAGCTCGACTAGCTCTGCTATTTCTAAATGGCTGGCGCCCATCTATTTATACATTATTATTTAATAAATTTTCATTGTATATTAATTCAAGGAGTGCCAAAWAAAAATGTTTGTTTGTTATGTTTATGCATAAGACTAAAGGTGAGGGGCTGAGGATTGAAAACAAGTGGATATTGTTAAAAAGGTGTGGGGAGGGAAGGGGAGGAGATGCACCCTAGGATCTCTACTGTTCCTCTAAACTAAATTTTGCCTCGTAAAAAAAAAATTTTTTTAATTAATTAATTTTGAAAAATGATTAATTTGTGATTATTTCATGTATAGTAGTATATTATGTAATTGTGAAAAATTGTGCGAGTTGTTAGCATGTTATGTATTTGAGATTTACCACGTAAATTTCAGTTGGTCAGATTTTAGTCATGAGAGGTGRTTAGTAGGAGCGATCAGTAGGGGATTGTCTCCCGGTTCAACAGCCTATCCCTGTCTGGAGGCATAACACTAATGTACTTACAAATCACTCATGATTGTATTAAGCTGCACGGCCGCTAACAGCGCCTTAATATGCAGCCCGTAAAGTCCTCCACTTGTCATAGATATGAAGCACATTGAGACGTTGTATAAATCTGCTATATAAGAACCTCCATTATATTATTTTTCTGTGATGYATGAGGTGGTTATTATGATTTGCATGCTTCTTTACCAAAGGCTCATCTTAATTAAAAATCACTTGTTGCTACATACACCTTAATGTAATGAAGGCAATAACAGAATGATACTTTAGCTTGAAAAATAATATTGCAAACATGTAAAGTATTTTCTACGAAAATTATATGGGTTTTCACCTGTTATGACAAATAGCATGCTATTCATGATCTCACAATCTTTTATTTTTCACAATCCTGCATCACAGAAAATAAAGACCCTTGATCATGTTTCACACAAAAAAAACCTTACTGTCCCTGTTATATGTATACACTAACATTTCTGTAACAGAGTGTATATCTATAGGGCATATAATCATATTTTACCCTGTCTATTTCAGGTACTTTAGTAGCAACTGGAGACGTCATCACACAACAACTAATCGAAAAGAAAGGAACCAAACATGATGTTACAAGGACAGTAAGAATGGGGGTAGTTGGCTTATGTTTAGGGCCAATACTTAGGGCATGGTATCTGACGCTCGACAAAGTGGTAGTTGCTAGCTCGAGACCCAAACTTGATGGCCTAAAGAAAATGCTTCTGGATCAAGCACTATTTGCACCTGTTTGCATTGGCTTCTTCTACTGTGTCTCTGAAATGCTGTCAGGGAAAACATTTAGCCAGTGTAAAGAAACTCTCAAAGAACGATATGTTGAAACATTGATTGCTAATTATAAGCTTTGGCCAGCAGCTCAGATAGTGAATTTTACTTTTGTTCCTCTAGAACACAGGGTGGGCTTTGTTCAAATTGTTGCTATATTTTGGAATACTTATTTAGCTTGGATGGTCAACAAGCCATCAGAATTGGAGCAAGCCAGACTGGATCAGGAAAAGAAAAAACAAAAACCACTCTAATTAAGCATCAGTGAATTTTTCTAGGATTATATGTATAAACAGACATCTTTACCTTGAGCATAATGTTATTCTGTTGAGAATGAAGAATGAGATTCTTCGTTTGATTAATATCCATATCATAATTATGTATTCTCATATGATGATGATGATGATGATTTATGAATTTATATAGYGCCTTTTCTATTTGAATATAATCAAAGGTGCTTTACATTGAGTTGTGAATGACAGATTGCGTATTGTGCAATTTACAAGCATGAGAGATGGTTAGTATATATATGCAACCATTAAATAAAGAAATGATACTCTAGAGAATGAAACATGATTTGAAAAGGGAACACATTATGCCCAAGGTATAGAGTCCTATAGTTTGTATGAATTGGAGCAGAGGTTTAACTTGGGGGGACGGGGTGAGGCAGGCAGAATGCCTTGATATTAGTTTTAATTTGATGCTAAAATTTAAATTAACTAAAACAAAAATAAATAATTAATTGTTTCTTTCTGTGATTCCTATTGATTGTGATTATTTTATTTCTATAAGATATTGACAGCTAGTAATTGAGCTATTTACCCTTGAATTCCTCAGGAAATGGTATTTCAAAATCAAAAATTCAAGTTAAGTCATATTATAATGTCAGAGTTATTAAAATAATCTTGTTTTTCAGGGKTTTTTTTGCCAAGTAGTGTGATGGTTATTCTGGAGAATTTTGATAATCATAATCATAGTAATCTTCATAAACATAACTTAACTAAATTAAATACCCCAGTTTCAAGTAGTTTGTTGCTCAGTGCGTGGTAGTCAATTTTGTGTAGATCATTCATGTTTTCCAGTGAAGTTCCATGGATTTCAAGGTATTTGTATCTTCTGTTCAAGTAATGCCTTTGCTTATTAAATGGTATTAAAATTTAAAAGTCATTCTCACAAGTTCCAGGTTTTGTGGGGAGAGAGAGGAAGATGTCTTTATTCTAAAAACTCTTTACAATTTCTACATCTTCTGCTATCACAGAAGTTGAAATTCATGAAAAAAAAGTTAAATAAATAAAACGATTTAAAAACTTACCTTTTGGACATTTGTGGGAAGATCAGCTCATATTTGGCTAATTTCATGTAGGAATTTATGTGTGGGTGCAGTGATTTCCTGTAATAATTTAATGATCCAAAGTATCCCAGGATGCATTGCAAATACGAACTTCGACCTGGGAACGAGGCAGAACGCCCGCGCAACAAAGTGACGGCAAGTGTCACTATGGCAACTGTAAGTAATWAAAATCTTCCGTTGTCTTTTTGTGTCTTTCATGTGAGCTTTTCTCAACTTACTGACTTTTATTTTCCAAAAATGAAGCTTTCTGAAGTTGCTGGAGTCGTCCATCAACAACAGCAGCTACCCTCGGAAATCGTTAAGAATCTACGACTGAATTTCAAGCCGATAAATCAAGACATCCACAAGAAAAACAAAGTGCAAATCCGAACTTCTCGTCACTACAAACCCGAAAGAGACGATGAACACTGGAAAACCAAGTACCACAGACACCTTAGACAAAAATCATGTGGTTTTTATACTCCAGCACACATTCCTTATCAAACTGTTGGTAAAGTTGGATTAGATTTGAAAGAACTTGTTGAAGAATCTCTTGATCATTTGACTAAACGAGAGGAGCCAGATTTGACGATTTGGAAAAAAACCGACAAGGTAGGAGTACGTGCAACGAAACTCAAAATCTCATTTTAGTTTTTTACTTTTTCAGTTTTAAATAAGGTGAAAAAGCTTGCGGGCAGTTAAATGTTTTTGTTTTTGTCGTAAAGGAAAGGAAATCTAAGAGAAAGGAGATAACCATTCGTTTTGAAGATAAGCCCGGCGTACAAGACAAGGTGGGGCCTAAGGTTCCAATATCCAAGGTAAGGAACTTGTTCAGTAGCTTTAGTAATAGAAAATAAGATTTAATATTATGAATATCGATTTCTAAACAAGCAATCATTTGGAGATACCACAATAGCCACTAAAAAATACAACACTTTAAGCAGCATCGCAAAAAACAATGAGAACAACAAGAAATAACAGCAGCAACAACAACAGCAGCAACAGAAACAACTATGACAACAGCAGCAACAAAAATTTTAAAGCAACAGCAGCAAAGGTAGCAACAACAATGACAGCAACAACAATGACAGCCACAACAATGACAATAAAAGGCAGCAATTTTACAATCACTGCAACAGTATAAACAACAACAGCAGCACTATCAACAACAACGAGCAACATTACCACCTAAATCTAAATTTAATTGAGTCAGTAACAGTCTAATGATCATACATCATCAAGGGAACAAGTATCACTATCAATAGAAAAGCACCATCATCTTTATCAATAACAAAAACAACAGCAACATCATGAACAACAACAAAAAAAACTCACGGATTTTGTACTGGTCAACAGAGAAAAGAAGGAGTCAAATCACCCTCTTTTCGTTGTAATGGTGGTTTAGAGGAAATCAGAAACAATCTTCGACTGCACAGGCAACGAAAAGCTGCAGTCAGAGCTGGCAAACCTTACTTTGAGTGCATAAGGGAGGAAGCTGCAGTAAAGGTAAGTTATCTGCGCTCTACTTCTGTTAATGCTATTTAATCAGTGACTGAAATAAAGACGTAGCTCAGTTGTTCAGTGCACGGCCTTTGGAGCTAGAGGTTCGATCCTCGGGATATCCACTGTTTTGACTTCTCTCTGCTCTGTAAAGCATTCTTTATCTTTAAATACCTATTATAAAACTATCGTAAGCACTTGCATCCCTCCTCTCCCCTCCCCCCTCCCAAACTTTACTTTCGGAACCAAAATGTAATTAATTCATGTGGGATTCTTGGGGATTTGGCGGGAAAATGGTACATTGCACCCCCCCCATGATCGAGACCTCGCTACGCCTTGTTGTTATAAGCAACACTTACGCTACGCAGAATTGGGCCACCACTGCCTGCAGTTTCGAAGCAAAATAAATGAACCTTTACCTTTTTTCTGTGCCCCTCTCAGCCCCACCTAGCTCCCTTACCATGTATTTAGACTAAGAGGAGATGTTCAGGACTTTCTTATGAACCATCAAGCACCATGGTCAACAGCATGCATGAATACGACATTTACCGTGTACACACAGATACTTAGTTTATAAAGTACTCATCTCTCGATGTTTTAGGCAATGACGTTAATGAAGGAAGATAAGGATCGCCGCGACCCTTGTATATCTCCTAAACTACTTCAACAAATGCTGACAAAAATGAGGGTAGGTGATCGATCAGACAGCCAGGCCGAAGGGGATGAAACCGTGGATGGCTTACCTTCTGAAGACGCCCATGTGGATATCATGAACCAAAGGTAGTTTCCCTGCTATTTGCCATGTAGTTTTGTTGAGGTTTTCTAGTACTATGGTTTCAATATACTGTTACTGTTTTCTCTCCGTTTCTCTTTGTACCTCTATACACATAGCATCCTTTCTCTTTAAACTTTGGTTTTTTTCCTGTCTTTGCCATTCAGTTTTCACTTTTTCTTGTTGTCGTTATCTTTCACTTTTACTTTTATTTAGTTTTGAATTTTCTATCATTCTGTTTATCCCAACTCTTTTAAAGTTCGGTTTTTTAAATTTCTTACACTTCCCTTTTCCTTCTGCCTTAATTTAAATTTGCTTTTGTGTCTATCACTCCTATCGTTTCTATCAATTTTAAGAATCTTTGAGTCTTGACGTATTGCCTGTTCTTTCAACAGCCTTCATCACAGTGCGTGCATGATTTACGAATAAAGTGAGCGCGCTAACGCCAGTTATTTGTTGCATGGCGTGATAAACTTCTAGAATGTTTCTAAAAGGTTTTCAAAATTTTTGTCTTGTATCGAATGCCATGCCTCCTATTGTTATTACACAACGAAAGCGTTGCGTGACGACACTGAAAGCGGCTGTGGGGGAGACTAGATTGACTGGGAACCGTTCTGCAATGCTTTGCGTATGCTTATACCACTCAGATTGATTATACCACACAGGTTGATCTATTACATATATATAGTTTTATCGTCTATGTCTCTTTCTGTTTTGCCCTCACATAGGGAGATACACGATCGAAGCACGAGAACCCTAACTGCAAAACTAAAATGCTTGAATACTTTACTGTGTTATTTATACAACCTTCGTACCAAGGATCTCAKAACTAAGGTAAGGAAGGAAAGTCTTTCCAGAGCACTAAACAATTGACAGTGAGAAAGGAATGCCGTTATTGACCATGAATTGGCAGATAAAGAGGGGAGAGTAAGGTTTTGGCTGTTGCGTTTCATTTTTATACCCCCTGGCTCAGGATGCCCATTTTTTAAATATTTCAATGTGCTTTGTCCGCTGCCCCACCACACCCCTCTCTCAAATACTTACAAATATGGTGGGTTCTTCCAAAGTCTATTGTTTCGAGTGACAAAATATTGCATTTCGAAACCCACCCCCACCTCCCTCTCCTATGCCGCATTCAATGCATCTGTCTCCCTCTGATTTCATAGCGAAGGTAAGAATTGAGACTTCGTATAGACTTTATTCGTGGTGTGACAATGTTTTCCCAATTCAGCGTGACAAATCTCTGGGGGAATGAAGAGGTATTGTTTTGAAACTCGTCGGGATATCATCGTTATTCCTTTCGTATCCTTTGAGATACTCACGCATTTTTCGAAGAGTAAAAACAAAAGAAAATGAATCCCCTGGAGGTTTGTCACGCTGAATTGGGAAAACTGTCACACCACGAATAAGGTCTTTTGATCTTTGATTTGTGATTCCGTCCTTAGACCCCCCTATCAAAGGATTTCCTTAAAACCCTCCTCGCAAGTATTCCAGTAGATCATCGTGGTCACATCATCCGCAATATCCGTCAACAAACATCCAACCCTCCTTCTAGATCTCGAAACACAGATCATCGTGCTTCCGTTAACGCAATAGAATACCCGCGTACCGAGCCAAGTTTTCCCATGGGGTCCCCCCACATGTACTGGAATGAATCTGGCTCGTCTTTATCTCGAGTTGTGGGTGGGGGAGAAAGCTCGTCTGCGGGATCGGCCAACATTTTTCAGCGAAAATTTGGCACAAGGTAGGTGGGAAAATAATGATATTTATACATTTTTAAAACAAGCATCGATTAAAACCAATTTTTGTTAAATATTTAGGTCGTTGCTAAGAAACGAGGTGGGACGCTTGGGCGTCGAGTTAATCAACGAACAAATCGTACATTTTTTTTGGAAGATAAACGTCAATTAACGATTTCATTTTATAATATTTATCCCTTTTGTTTTCTTTTTTCTTTCTTTCTTTCTTTCTTTCTTTCTTTCTTTCTTTCTTAAGTCTTCCTATCTTGTAATAAGTTTCTAGAAGGAGCCCATTTTTCTTGTTTTAGTACGTTTACATCATCGGAAAAAGAAGAGAAATCTAAAATCCTTTCATAGCAATTTTCTGGGGRGAAATCCAAGTACAGGAGAAAACTAAAAATCACACTTGTTTTTAGACTTTTACAAGTTTTAATGTAAAGTAAGAAACCCTGAAAGAACAGTCTAGCTGCGTACATAATGATCTCCTAAGTGACAAAGATAGCTAAGATGTTAAGTTATTTCAAAATCTAGAGTAAAGGATGGAGGCCCCAAAATGGGCGAAATGACTTGGAGTGAGTTGGTAGAAGGGAGATCACCAACACAGCAGTCTGGTCCTCCACCTCCAGAACCTTCCAACAGGAATACACCAGGACGCAGTAGTTTTATGCACRCAGTACGGAACCTTTTCAGGTTCAAGTAAGTTGAGCTGTAGGCAGCTTAAAGTGACGGGCTACTATTGATATTTGAAAGGGCAAAAAAAATAGACAACATAGAATAACAGGCCTCTTTATTAAACATATATCCGCACCACGTTTGATCAAACATGCATACGTTTTGACAGCTTTATTGTGTTTATATACCTGCCATGTTGTATGACTCTTTTTAAACTTCACGTGATGACATATCCGCTATGTTGGATGACACACATTATCTTACACATTTTCAAAGCTGTAAGATATATGATCATTTATCTCCGCACGTTGCATAACACCTGCTCAGTTTTCAGTTACGTGATCATATATCCGCCATGTTGGTTGACAAGCACATTTTCCAGTAAACATATATCCTCCATGTTAGATAAGAAATTAGCAACTAAACATTCTTAATATCAACTTCAATATTCCAATGTTCCCACTTAAATTTAGGTCTCGCTCGACTTTGATTACCTAACAGTAACCACAACTAAAGCACAGTATATTTTTCTATCAGAAACCTGCACAACTCATGTTATCACATATCGCCTGGATTAAGTGAGGTGCAACCAATGGTAGCCCGTCATTTTAAATGTTTTTTCCCCTGAAAAGTAGTGTGAACTGCTAATGCCACGCTTAAAAATAAATAATATGGAAGAACTTCGACTTCATTCCTTCGTTCGCCATTGTATCTCATCCATCCATTCACTCTATCACTGATTCCATCAAGCACTTTATCCGCATTCTCTTGGCCATTTATTCATTTCATTTCCGCATTCTCTTGTCCATTTATTCATTTCATTTCATTGTATTTATCTCATTGTTCCATTCAATTTTTCATTTATTGTCCTATCATTCATTTTATAAGCACCAATGCATCATTACTCTTCCGGTGTTTATTTATTATCCTATCATTCACTTTCGTTTGTTAATTCTTCTTCGACTTTTTTATTTTTTGTATTATTCATTCACTTCGTAAGCAATTCTTTTGTCATGTATGTTTGGGCATCATCTGCTATCTGTCATGGATCTCTGATTTATTTCTCTTTTCTTTACTTGCACTTGTTATCTATAGGTCATGTATCCATTGTTCATTCATTGTTCCCCATACTTTTCATGTTTATATTTTCATTTTTCTACTTGAATGTTTTACTATTTATTCACTAGTTTCCTTTTCCATCTCTCCATTCATTCATTTAATCATTTCTCCTTTCCTTTGTTCCTTCGTTCCTTCCTCCCATCTATCCATCCATCCATTTTTTTTCAACGCCTCAATCCTGCACGTCAGACCCTTAAACAGGAACGCCTGCAATGTAGGCCATCCTTCCTTCCATCCTTTCTGACAACCATCCATCCATCCATCCGTCCATCCATCCGTCCGTCCGTCCGTCCGTCCGTCCGTCCGTCCGTCCGTCCGTCCGTCCGTCCGTCCATCCTTCCATCCATCATTCATTCATTCATTCATTCATTTATCCATTAATTCATTCATTTAACCATTCATTAATTTATTCATCCATCCATCCATTCATTCATTCATTCATTTACTCGTTTGTTTGTTTGTCACCACTTCGTGGCGCCTACGATGCTCTCTCTACTCTTTGTAATACATGTACAGAGACGTGCTTGCTTGCATGCATGCATTATACATTGTTTCACACATTTGTTTATTAACTCCCTTTCTTTAGAAAACCTGGACCGCACCACAACTTGCCGCAAAATACTCCCAACACCCAACCAGTTGAACAACTACCGCTATGGCAGCAAGTTGCCTCAAACGAAAAAAGTACGTTTAGATCAAATATTAGAATACTTCTTGACATTCATGCACTTATCAACGTTAAGCCCAAGGGGAGGAGACACAGGGGGTGGAGATTTGACATGTTTACTAAAAAATAAGTCAAAACCCACACCCTTGGGACAACAGTCAATTTAATTCAACATTACCAAAAATCAAAATCCCGACTATGGGTGGGGTCAACTGTTATGGGATGGACCGCTCTCGGTACGAGCTACGGGATCTTTATTCTACTTTCTCTTCACTCTGACTAAAACTAATTATATGAGCTCTATTTATAACAACTTCATGACAGGTGTCATTCTACAATCAATATGATATTATCGCTGTGCCTTGATTGGCTAATGGAAATAGTAAATTCCTAAGYGTGATATCTTATTAAGAGTAATACGAGTGAAAATCATAGAACTAAACATAGCTTAAACTAAAGATAATTTATGAATATATGGTAAATGTATAGAAAGGTCTACGAGGGATATATATATCATAAGATTTAAAAGAATAGTGCCAAAATAACTAAGCAAAGGGGTAAAGAGTATTTAGGGTGTAACCATAGGTGTACATGCTAATGGGAGGAGCTAAGTAGTTTACTTGTAAATTCAAAGCATACCATCATCTAAACTCGTGCGTGMTGGCAGCCTTACTGAAAWCTTATATCGATATTTTCAATAACTAATTRATCGTTCTTTATCTTGTTTTCATACGATAAGAAATAGTAATTAGAAAACTGATGTCTAGCTTAGTCTGTAGAAACATTAATTTTCTCTCTCACAACACAACCAAATCCTCCCCCCCCCACATATTCGCGCTTAACATTGGTAGGTGCATATAAAGAACAAAGTAAAAACTGTATTCGTTGTCTTGCCTTGACGGCTCTGTTTGCTGAATATTTTTAAGGTGCAAAAGAAGCAAAATCTATAAAGATTCACCATCGACCAGTTCCCAAGAAAAGGCCCGAAAAGAAAAGGTACGGATCATTTCGATTATTACCTTCAAAATACTTTAAAATATCTTCAAATTTTGTCGGATGCGGATGCTGATCTATAAGCATTAGTACAATATATATTAGTATATATAGTATATATTAGTACAATATATATTAGTTTATGGAATTATTATATATTTTTATTGGCAGCAATTAATCCAATGTAAATATGTTTATACGGAGCCAATAAAATACGTTGTCTTGTCTTGTCTTGTCTTGTCTTGTCTTGTTTATAATTCAGGGCACGGCTAAATCACAGATCAAATTGGAATTTAGCCTCATGTTTTGTGTATAGAGGAAAACCGGAGAGCCCGGTGAAAAACCTTTAGATCAAGAAGGAAAGCTAAGGTTAAGATCTACTCACATGTGATGCTGAGATCATCAAACCTGAGGACGCAGAAGTGATCATGGGAAGCGAGGCAATGCCCTGCGCATACCATATTCAGGGGCGTATCCAGGATTTGTAATTTGGGGAAGGGGGGTCCTTACATACCAAATTGTAACTATGACGTCATATGACGTCAATATGAAATCATAGCAATCTATTGTTTTGACGAAAAAGAATCATGGTCGATAGAGGGGAACAGAACAACGTACACGGCTATAATTGAAACAAAAAGTGTTCTGTAGAACGAAACAATAAAATATATGTTAATTAATCACCAACACGTATCATAGATTTTTTTGGCTTTGAAAGGGGGGGGGGGGTCACGGGCACCCTGTGACACGCCCTGGATACGCCCCTGATATTATAGCGCATTATTATTATACTGACCTTCATAATTAAGGTATTTTATGTCATGAACAGACGATTTTCCAAGATGAATGATATCATAGGACAGGATTACACCCAAATCCGCTTGAAAACAGCTGAAAAAGTGGTAGAAAAACTCCAACAGCTAGGCGAGTAAGTATCCCTCCACCTCTGTTGAATTCTCCGGTTTTGACTTACTCATGTAGTGTTTTTTTTTGTGTGTGTGTGTTTTTTTTGTCTGTGTGATTTTCTATACCAATAGACAGGAAAGAACCATATTCACTCAAAGACTAAAAGCGATCCAGCCTGCAAAAATATATGAATTGAATCTCAAGGCAATGCGCCAGGCTGGTATGGAAGTTCACAAGGAGTACGAGAATGACCATGTACGACCTGCTAAATGGTATGCTGAACTATAGTTAAAAAATACTCAACACGATATGAATCTAACGCGCGCTGTGACTGGCCCATTTGAGAGAAAAAATGGAAATGTGGAAATGTGTCCCCTTGGAAATGTGTCCCCTAAAATCGGTAAAATTGGTATTTCGACCAATCAGAGCGCGCGTTGAAACACGGTTATTTAGAAATACTATAGTGAATTATTTTATCCCACGACCGTAGAAAATACGAATGCGTAGATTCAACACTCAGTGCATGATGGAAGGAAGGTTGAAATACCGACGAATATACAACACTTCCCTCCTTCCTGATTGGCTAGATTAATAGCGGCATTATTTTGTCCTATCCATTTCTAGGTTTGACGAGCTCCATGAAAGAGCAGAAATATTAGGTGTGCAAGATGAGCCAGTCGTTATACAATCCTTGGGTCAGCTTCATCGATTTGCTGTTGATCAAATTCAGACTGTTGCCTATGTTAAGGTATGTGAGTGACACAATTGCTTTAATGTACTAGCTATTAGAAACGCTCTCTAGCCTTTGCAACAACTGGGGGGGGGGGGGGGAAATGTTGTGCACTCGTGGTTGTAATAGCCTTTTCTTGTGTGGCGGACACGGCTCATTGTTTGTGGTGTTTGTGCTTCGGTACAAACATCTTTTGCTTACCATGATATTTGATGATGTTGTTTGTACACAAACTAGATGTTTATCGACTGCACCTGTTTATGGAATTCAGAAAAGATCTATAACAGCTTGGAAAGCAACAATATTACTATAGTTTGTTACTCTTATGACATTATTATAAGCTGGGGAAAAAACTGTCTTTAATTATAATTACAACCGACTGCTCGTTTAGTAAAGGTATTCTCTAAACAACGTAAGATATTTTACATATAGCCGCTGAGGTATATATATGCTACTGGCTGTATTGTAATAGTCCCCTTCACAGTTCCCTGCGCCATCTTGAAAGGTAGCCGTGCCTTTGCATCGAAGCGAGACGAACGTTGAACTTGCAATGATAGAGACATCTTTTTAACGCCTTGAACATGTCTCTATCATTGCAAGCTCACCGTTCGTCTCGCTTCGATGCAAAGGCACGGCTACCTTTCAAGATGGCGCAGGGAACTGTGAAGGGGACTATTCCAACCTAACGATCAGCACACTTATCCATTCTTTCTTTCATTTTTCCATTCATTCATTCATTCAGGCTAAGCTATGCTTGATAATGCAGTCGATCCCAATGTACGACTTATGTTCTCTTGAGATGCAAGAAGCAGTACATGTGAGTTAGTATATTTACTCATAGACCCATTCATCTCATTTTATTCTATGCACAATTTTTCTAGCTTGTTATAGCGGACATTGTGTAACAATAGACGCATCAATTAGCCATTCCAAGATCGAGGAAAAACCTGGGTAGAGTTGGCATTGCAGCACATTGTGGGACTGTTTTATAYGACAAAATAGACTGCGTCGTATTGAAAATGCGGCCCCTAAAACATGCTGTCCCACAATGTATTGCAATCTAAACTCGATCCATTTTTTCCTTAACCTCAGAATTTGTAATACAGGGTGGCGCATAATTAGCATGGGTGGCGTTCGCTGCTAACGCGTCGTCTTTAACGGCTGTTAGTCCAACAGGTCGGGTCGCTGGTACAAGCCCTGCGGTAGCCACATGTGAATTGAGTTTGTTCGATGTGTTGTTCTCTCCTAAGCTACGAGGGTTTTAAAATCAACATGTGAGTTGAGCGTTGTGTGCATAGTACATTGAATGTAGTGGTAGTGCGAAAGCGCTAGAACGACTAGACACTTAGGCCCCGTCCACACGTATCCGGAAATTTTGGTATCCGGAAATTATTTTTTGCGGATACGGGTTGCGTCCACACGTGTCCGCAAATTTTTGTATCCGTATCCGCAAATTTTACGAAAACGGATACGTGTGGACGGTGAAAACGATTCGAATACGCTGCGTGTGGACGCAAACATTTTCGTATCCGCAAATTATTTTTTGCGGATACAAAAATTTCCGGATACGTGTGGACGGGGCCTTAAATTAAAGTGATTTAATACAGCACGACAAAAGTCAAAATTTGGGAAAATGCAAGTAAAGTCCCTTCACGGCCTTTCTCAACCCATTACGTAACTGCAACAGCTTTACTTTTTTGTATTTTCAATTTTCATTCCTATAGTTTTTAATGACAAGGATTATGGACATTTCTTTTTCAACGTGGACAGACTGGCTTGGACAACGCAGAATTCAACCTCTTCCACCAGTCTGATAAAAGATACTGATGACAAACAAATAAAAAATTCTTATGGAAAAAATGATAGAATCGTTCTCACGTGGACGATAAAAACGTGTAAAAATCTATTTTGGAAAGTAATGTTAGCTTTTTGTTTCAGGCATATTTTTAAATAAAAATATTCATAAAAGCCTATTTATTAACTTAAGCGGAAATTCATGTGGGATGGATAAATTATATATCTCCAATAAAATGTTGCAAAGCCGAGTCAAGACAATATATAGCCTAGAAAATATCTACTTCTAAAGTCAATGAAGTTTTGATTGTTATTTTCGACACATATTTTGGTTTTGGAGCATATTGACTTGTTGCAGAATATCATCATGTGGGATGCATAAATTATCTCTGTAATTGACACAAAGCTAATGAAATGGTGCAAAGCTGAGTTCAGATAAATATATATTGTTCACGTACAAAATCTCTATCTTAAGTCAAAATTGAATAAAAACATGTTTAAATATACTGTACTTGAATTTTTCTGATGTAGTTTCGTTCGCTTTTGAGGGAGAGGAAGCGCGTGGTCAACACTTGTTTTAGAGATCATTGACTCAAAAGTCATAATGTGGGATGAATAAATTATATCTCATTGGTGATTGACGTTGAAGCCAATAAAATGATGCAAAGCTGAGTTCAGATAAATATATTTTTTTCACGTACAAAATCTCTATCTTGAGTCAAAATCAAGTAACAACATTTTTAAACATAGCATACTTGAATTTTCTTATGTACTTTCGTTCGTCTTAGAGCGCGAGTTGAACACTTGTAGATTCTTCAAAAGTCATGTGGGATGAATAAATTATCTCTGTGATTGACGTTGAAGCCAATAAAATGATGCAAAGCTGAGTTCAGATAAATATATTTTTTTCTCGTAAATCTGTTTGTGAAGTCAAAAAAAAGTAATGGCTTTCTTGAATTTTCTGATGTAGTTCTGAATAAGTTTCAGTGGAACTCATTTCCTCGAAATTTGTACAAAAAGTAGGGCGCTACATCTGGCGCCTGTCCTCCTYCTATCTCCTTACGTCCTTTGTTAGATTTTTTTAAAGGACACGTTAAAACCAAGAGAAAAACTTTTTYCCCTCAAATTTAGCTAAATGTATTATACAGTCTCCAATTTTCGCGGTCAAATTTGGCGCTAAAACTGTACGTAGGTCGTGTTGTATGCTGGGCAGGAAATTCCATCCCACGTGGACAGTTCATGTTCTCGTACACCATCAAAGAGTTAGTCTAATCTGTGCTTCGCTCAAAATCAGTGACCACTACTACAACTCCAATTTTTCATCATTTTGAGTCTCTAGTGCCTAAATTCCTAAGTCAACATCTGCAGCAAGGGCTGGATGGGACTTCGAGATTCAAAGGAAAGCGTAAACAGGAGATTGTAAACACCCCTTGGTTTTTGCCGCTCTACTTTGGGCCGAAGGTCATTTTCGTGGATTGGCTGTGATCTGTTGTAGAGCTCAAGTTTGTTCTAATCGTTCTCCAAGCTATCTAATTCATATTGATTATTAGAAAGTAGGATTTACAACATGGATTCGCAGAGAACTCGTACACTTCGTATTTAGTTCAAGACACGTGTTGCTCTCGCGTTGTTTGGTGTGTAGAACAAAAAGAAACCTCCAATTTTTACAACGTGTTTAAAGAAGAACATTATCAGCAAACACAATGTTAGAGCCGCAAGGTTCTGATTACATTTGGATTGTAGTCGTAGGATTTATCTTAGCGTTYGTTCTAGCTTTTGGTATCGGAGCCAACGATGTGGCCAACTCGTTCGGGACTTCTGTRGGTTCGAAGGTGCTCACTCTAAAACAAGCATGTGTTATCGCTACGATATTCGAAGTAGCTGGGGCTATCCTTATAGGAGCCAGAGTATCTGGTAAGTCAATCATTAACCTTTTACAGTTGTTAGGTGTTCTGTGTATTCCGAACTGGGTTATACGAGGCTATGCCGGGTTAATGAAACTCGAGGTGTGTATTAGTATTTAATACACTACTTCTGATCGGGATTCGGCGATGAATTAATGTTTTCGTTTGAAGCCAAGAATTCTCGTTCTTGTTTTATTTATTTACAAACACTTCATCCACCATCACTTTACATCGTTCCAGTCTTAGAAAATCCATCTCTCAACGTCTTCGAGTTTTATCCTATTATTAAAAAAAACAAGAATAGAGCTTTTTATGTATAACGTAGTAAGTTTTCACCTGCACATTTATACTAAGTGTTTGGTTCATCGATCCTGAAATTTTGTACACGTAAAAAATTTCTAAAGCTCATATTTACGTTWTTAATAACTTACTTATAAATTTCGTTTTAATTAAAATTAAAGACAGGCATCAAAATTTTGATATTTAAGTTTTGGTGCACGAACAATAAGTTATWATTTGTAATTTATTCTGAATTATACAGCTGTGCATATGTTTTCGTAGTCATATGCATACACAGTCTCTTGCGCTAGTCAGTTGAAACCCCTCGGGATAGGGCTGGTGTTGTTTATACTGAAGCTAGTCCACATTGCATCTTGTTTATCAGCAGGGTTCCGCTCCAGAATTCCTGGCCAAGTCAAGAGCAGATAAAGCCAAAATTTAGGGGGGGGGGGGGTTAATTCTTCTTTTGTTATTGTTATTGTCGTTGCTTCATTCTAAAACAAAGTACATGGCTGGGTTTGAAGCTGCTCCTATCAAACTCGGTAAAAGGACTACTTGAGGAATTTAACTCATATACACCAACAGTTTAAMAATAATRACAGCAACAACTTCAATAATTTTAACAGGAAATTTTTATCCAGGGACTAGGGGAGAGTGCTAACTTTAAGGATGCAAATGTTGAATTCTCTACCMTGTCCCTGCAATAAATCCCATAGCAACTGTGATCCTGTCTAATCATGTAACTGGCTTAGTCTTCTAAATCGTARCATATGTCTGACCAATCCAAATATAACATGTAAACCTTACATTAAAAAAATTCAAATGAATGTATAAATTAATCCCTTCATTCCACMAAAAACACACATAAATAATATTCTAATTTTTAAATCATTTAATTAAATAATCTCTCGTTGCACAAATTAAGAGAAAATTGAAAGCCAATTAACAATCAGAAACAAGTATATTTGTAGATAATATGTTAATAGATTAAAAAATTATCTGGAGCCATCTTGTTATTGTTGCTATAGAGCCTCCATGATTCTAATAAAAATGCTGTTTAGTTTCAATGCCAGAAAATTTCATCTTGCAGAAGCTTTATATATTTTGGCATAACTGTACTTGACCCTAAGTATTACATATTATTAATCAGTCAGTGTTGTTGGCGTGTTTACAATGTTATTTCTAGATCAAGAAATTGATTTTGGGCTAACTCAACCTTAACTCAATCTTAACTCAATCTTAACTCTAACTCAACTCAACTTGTAACTCATGATTAAGCCAATCCCATTCAGTGCCTAGAGCAGCTTCTGGATAAATTGCATCATGACATTGTCAAAGTAGTGTGGATCCACGAGGCATAGCTGAATTCGATAAAAAGAGCGSCACTCATTGATGTCACCTTATCTGTCCTCTTATTGATGATAAAAATTAGCCAATTAGTATGCRAGAAATTTGTTAGTTACGTATTGTAAAAATAATATTATTTTAAGTGTCTAGTCAATCTAGTATTTTCTTCTCATTGGGACAACTACATTCAGTATTTCATGCACACAATACTTATATGCATCTTCCTTTTGGACATCTAAATATGATTTTCAAGRTATAAACCTTTATAACATAGCAGCCATGTTTACTAACATGAGAAAAAAAAACAAGTTAACAAACAATATAACCGTGAAACTTTAGTGATACTAAATAGTGCAATTTTATGCAAATTCTAATGTTTTTTAATTAGCACTATTTTGTACTATTTAGTAATAAGTGTTTCACGGATTAATTATTTGCAATCTATTCCAGCACTTTATTATTTATTATCATTTGTTATTTTTATTATCATATATTCATTATTATTTTTGTTATTATTGTTATTATTATTATTCTTATCATTACTATTAGTATTATCATCACCATGCTTATTCTAATAATTTTTTTGGAATGCATTATGTTACAGATACTGTTCGTAAAGGTATCATTGACATCAACTCCTTCAATGGCACAGAAGAACTTGCTATGATGGGTTCATTGTCAGCTCTCACTGGTACAAGTGTGTGGCTTCTCATTGCCACATTCTTCAACCTTCCAGTGTCTGGGACGCACAGTGTTGTTGGTGCAACAATGGGTTTTGCTCTAGTAGCACACGGATTGTCTGGTGTCAAGTGGCCAACTTTTGGCAARATTGGTAAGAATATGTTAGTGTAGACACTTGAACAAGGTCAATCAATCATGATGAAGGGGATGCAAGGGGTCTATTACTACCATTATTGTTGAARTGAGACCAGCAAAGTTTGGTGTCTCRTTCACTGACTAGCATTTYGGCAACTGTCAATCAAAGAACTGCAATAAAAAAACATATCATGAGGGAGTTTTTAGACTGAATTAAAGAATTTACAGTACAGTAATCCTCTAAAATCTTTAATTCWGTCCAAAGTTTCCCTCAAGATATTTATTTATTTATTTCAGTTCTTTAATAGACAGTCATTGAATGCTAGTAAACAAAGAAGACATCAAACTGAGCAGGTCGTACTACAAAGATAATGGTGGATAAAAAACAAAATAAAAGTATTGGTAATCATGTGTTTCTATGGATAGGCACTGATTCTGTTGCTCATATTAACAGTAACTTTGTTGTATTATWTCAGCTGGATCATGGGTTATATCACCAATTATGTCTGGCATTGTCAGTTCATTAATCTTCATCTTTGTTGATAAAACTATCCTTAAGAAAGTAAGTACCACATAGTACACACAATAAGTTATTCCTAAATGTAAAGGGGGGGGAAGGTAATGTGAAGTGAAGGGGGGGGGAGGTGCCCATTTTCTAAAACTCAATCTGGAATTTTTTCTTTGTTGATTTTTTTTCTGTTCTTGACCGATTCTTTAAAAGGATGATGTAGAAATAGATAAATTCATAAACTTAAAATCAACTTATGCTGCAATAGTCCTGCCTTTTCTCATTCTGTAAATACAATTGTAATTAATTATCTTCGACTGTAAACTCGTTTGTACAGAGGTTTAGCTTTGTTTCAGAGTAGATCATTTGCAAAAGTTATTTTATCATATAATTATCCATAAAATACCTATATTTCTCCTTTTCGAAAAAACTGATCTTTTCACATGTGAAAATAGCATGTTATTTTCACATGTGAAAATATTGTTACCGTGTGTATTTAAGCTATGAGTTAGTTAGTTATAACAAGCAAAAAGCTTATTAAGTTGATTTTATGGATAATCATATAATAAACAGAATATTACATGGGCGCTTGGAGATACGGAATTTAACTTCTGGTGTTGAAAATCTCTCACTCGTTTGCTGTGCTCACTCGTGAGACATCTTTTCAACACTCAAAGATGCATTTYGTATCTCCGTGCGCCCATGTAATATCCTCTATTTATTTGATGCACAACTTAAACAATACACATATTTTGAAACGTCATGAATTTTTTAATGGTATGCATATACTGTATGTGAATCAGTGGTCATCAAAAGAGCAGTATTCATCAAATAGGAAAGAGGACTTATTTTACGTCAGTCCTCTCTCTTTTTCATTACTATTTCTTTATTAGGAGGAATCATTTGAGTCAGGTTTGAAGTTCCTGCCCTTGTTTTATGCCTTCACCATCACCATCAACCTCTTCTCTGTATTTTACAAAGGATCACAAGGTTTGTTTTATCGTCATACAGGGTTCGTGCTACTCYTTGAAATCCTTGAAAGCCCTGGAATTCAAAAMCCATTTTTAAGTGCAYWTGAAAAGCCCTTGAAAATATCAATGTTGCTGGATACTCCTGGAATACTCCGTGAAAATGCAASGGTTACTTATTTATTATGATTATCTACTGTAACCTAATTTTTGTTGAAAATCCATTTATTACTTACGTGAATAAGGTTGTTAACTTATATGCTAATTTCCATTATTTTACGTCGATGATATGGAGCCTGAAAATAACGTATGGTTCTTATGCATTGTTAGGAAGAAATTCACWAACAAAATTGATCCTTGATAATCATAATTTTGGACCTTGAAAAGCCCTTAAAATGTCCTTGAATTTTGTGTCGGAGGTGTAGCACGAACCCTGGTCATACATACCAGTCAGTCTTACAGTGTGACACACCGTGCTGTGTCCACCCTACTTATTTTTTACTAGTTAGCCAATCAAATAGCAAGAACGTGTGCATGTGCTTTTGAACTCACTCAGCATGACCACAAGTATYTAAATTTATTTCAWACTCTTTGCAAAAAAAACTTARATAAATYRCTACTCAGRTGATRCCCTACTTAATCCCTTTGCTTGCTAACACTGGACATTTTCGTTAAAAGTCTTTTAACTATTGATGGAAACACAGGCAGGAAAGGGCTTAACGCCAGTGGTAAAAACATTCGATAGGAGGCCACGGTACAGCATTTTGCACTGTAAGACATTTCTTAATAGCAAAATGTAATTTCTAATTGGATACAGGAATGTTTTACTTTTCAAAATAATGCTAGTCATCTCTGATAACTAGAAAACTGCTAATTTCAGAACTTGTGTAAGTGTGGGCAATATAAATAGTTTTACGAATAGTACATATCTTAGTTGTTTTTATTATTTTATAGTCCTTGGCTTCCATAAGATTCCWCTTTATGGTGTCTTCATTCTTACCTTTGGTGGTGGTCTTCTAACTGCCCTTTTTGTAAAAATATGGGTGGCCCCATACATGCGCCGTAGGATCATCCATGAGGTTGCCTGTAGTGAGGACGTTGGGGCTGTGATATGTTCGCCAACTGAAAGCCCTGATGATAATCTTGCYGTTGAGATAGTGACCAGTAATGGAAATTGCAAGAATGCCACTCGTAAGTTTATTTGGTCTTAGCATTGTTGGCTTGTTTCAAAAAATAATCCTTCAAGCATAAAATGGCAAATACAATCAACCCCCTAATTCTAACCAGGTGATTTTGCTTGTAAATGTGTGTTTTGGATTGGTTTTTGTTGTACTTAATAATTAGCCATTTTGGATTTTTTTGCAAATGACAGCATGCAAAGATGCATGGGATTGATTTTTAACTTGAAACTCAATTCGCAATCTGATTGGTTAATAGTAATCGGCGAGATCACCTTGAATGTTTTAGTTAAGGGCCTGTTTAGCTTGGGGGGGATGTTATTTACTTTTTATTCCAGAAGGCTAAGCTTGCGTTTGCATGAAATTTTTATAGAACCTATTAAATGCAAGAGGTTAATCTTTTTATAATATTTGTTTAAATTTTTATTATCATTTATCACCACTATCACTGTTACTATGACTATCACAATCATCGTGACCATCCATCACCATCATCATGACAATCTTGTCCAGAATAAATTCCTAACCCCCTTAAAGACAACAGAAGTTTCAGTTGCCACTTTTCTTATTCCTTTAGCTGAAAAGGTKCCCTTGGAAAAAACATCTAAGACTGACAGCAGCGCTTGTAATGGAGAAGCTCTTTCACCTGCAGAAACAGATCTTGAAACATCAAGAATCTCGACCAACACAATCCTAAGTGGAAGCCCTACAGATGAGAAGCAGTTGATTGAAGACGACTCTCCCATCCCCCCTCATGAACACCATGAACATCACATAAGAAATGTGAGGCTAAGGACATACTCCATGGGTATGCAGGTTCCTGACCAYGAGATTAAAGTACTTGATGAACCCAAGACTGGCAAGCTGTTTGCATTTTTACAAATMATGACGGCATGCTTTGGTGGGTTTGCACATGGTGGCAATGATGTTAGGTGAGTATTACATACACCCTATGGAGCTCTAGACCCAGTATGTGCAGCAGGTTCTAATACGGTACTGGTACTGTCTTTACTGCTACGTAGTTCATGGTTGAACTTCATGACGAGCCCCTTAAATGGATTAATGCATCTGAATGTTGGAGGGAGGGAGGGAGGGAGGAAAGGAGGCGTGAGGGAGGGAGAGAGGGAGGGAGGAAAGGAGGTGGGAGGGAGGGAGAGAGGGAGGGAGGAAAGGAGGTTGGAGAAAGGGAGGAAGGAAAGGAGGTGGGAGAGAGGAAAGGAAGAAAGGAGGTGGGAGGTAGGGAGGGAGGGAAGGAGGAGGAAGGCAAGTTATGGCTTAAAAARATTCACCACTTTCCATACATGTGCAAAGCATTCAACTGAGGTTTGAATCATCTTTTATCTCCGATGGAATGCTTTGTGTTTGACCAGTAAACTAATATAAAGAGAGTGGTGAATATATTATATACCCTTGTTTCCCAATAAAAAAAAATTTGCAAGAGGCTAAAAGCTCTATTTTGTTTGTAGTAACTGTATAGGGCCATTAATATCATTATGGACCATCTTCTATTCTGGCTACATCCAACAAAAGGTTGATATTCCCGTGTGGATTCTGTTTTATGGTGGTGCTGGTATTAGTATTGGTCTGTGGGTGTGGGGCAGACGTGTTATCAAGACTGTCGGAGAAGACCTCACTCCTATAACTCCTACAAGGTAAAATACTAATCCATCCTTGGTTCGGTTATTTACTAACCATGCAGTTGGGATATTTGTTTACAAACCATGCAGTTGGAATATTTGTTTACCAATTGTGCAGTTGGAATATTTGTTTACCAATCATGCAGTTGGAATATTTGTTTACCAACCATGCAGTTGGAATATTTGTTTACCAATCATGCAGTTGGAATATTTGTTTACCAATCATGCAGTTGGAATATTTGTTTACCAACCATGCAGTTGAAATATTTGTTTACCAATCATGCAGTTGGAATATTTGTTTACCAATCATGCAGTTGAAATATTTGTTTACCAATCATGCAGTTGGAATATTTGTTTACCAACGATGCAGTTGGAATATTTGTTTACCAATCATGCAGTTGGAATATTCATTTATTTTGATTTTTTACTTTCTTTTTTGATTCACTGCGACTCAGTGGCATTCTTGTAACACACAAGCAACTGGATTATAATTCAGGGCTTAATATAATGGCTGGCAAGTTCCTGGTCATGATGAGCAAGCTCATATCTTGTTTCTGGCTAAACATTACTGGTCAAAATGACCGGCAAGGCAAAGATTTGACCGGATAAATTAATAATAATAATAATAATAATTTTATTCTAGCGTACTACATAATATCTCAATGCTCTTACAATATAGAATAAATCAATAACTAGTGAATAAATGAATGAATATATATATATATATATATATACTACAATAATAATAATAAGCTAATAAATATAATTTTTAATTAACTATTAAAAATATAATTATTTATGCGTCAAATAGGAATGTCTTAAGTTTTCCTTTAAAAGATTCAGTGGATGGAGCGTTCCTTATCGATAGCAGCAGATTGTTCCACAATATAGGCGCACATTTAGAAAAAGCGCAAGATCCATAGTTCTTAGTTCTGAACTTTGGTTTTGATAGGCAGAGTATTAGATCATAGGACTCTGTTTGGCTTGAGTAGGGTGAGCAAATCGACCAGGTATCCAGGTGCCATGCCATTTAAGACCTTGTAAGTAATCAGCAGGATCTTGTAAGTGATGCGCTGGCGTACAGGGAGACAATGAAGATTGCGTAAAATAGGTGTGATATGGTCAGACATCCTAGTTTTAGTGACAAGACGAGCACCAATTATTATTCTAGGCAGACATTGTCTGATGTCTAGCCCTGTAGATGATAAGTTAATAATAGTCAATGATGGATTTTAATGCATATAAAAGAAGATAAGGGCAGGAGAAGGGATTAAAGTAGAGGATGGAAGATGTGTTTCCAAGAATATATACAGCTAGGGTTTTTTCCTGAACTAACTATTCACCCCTAAGAATAAACAGTTAAAAAGCACATATCTTTTTTTAAAATTTTTAAAATTTTTTCTTGAGTTATTACTAACAACGTGGGCCAAAATAAGATTCCACAATAACAATTTTTAATTTACTCTGTGGGTGGGTTATGGATATTTCCTGGAACTACACAATGGTCTTTTATGCAAGTACAGGTTAATTTTGTGACTGATTACCTTCATTTCAGTGGCTTTACTATTGAGATTGGCTCGGCCATTACAGTTCTTATTGCATCTAACCTTGGCATACCAATCAGTACCACTCACTGTAAAGTTGGTTCAGTTGTCATGGTTGGTCGTGTCAGAGCTAAGGAATCTGTTGATTGGACGATCTTTAGGAATGTAGTGCTTGCTTGGCTTGTCACTATGCCTGTTGCAGGTAAGACAGACGTCTCTATAGTGACATTTATAGTGCCTTTTGGGAAATATTGCATTAATTTTTTTTTTTGCATTTTGCAGTGCAAAAATAACTGTTGAAAAATCAAAGCTTTTTTTTCAAGCTGGCTATCACATTATATTAACTATGTGCGGTCCCCCTATCTTCCTTGGTCACAATACATCCAGCAGTATTGCTGGTGTTGCAGAGCCCCCTTCCCTTGGGACATTAACTCATAACCATGCTATCCTCCTCAGTCAAACTAACCAAAACACCACAGCAACATGGCCAGATGGATAGTTGCCAAGAAAAATAGAGGGAGGGATTGCAGTCTAATTATTAGTACAACTAATAATATGTTATAAACTGTATTATTTTCTAGGTGCGTTATCTGCTGTATCATATCTTGGTCTGCGTGAACTGGTATAGGGTGTCTTATTGTTTGTAAACAGGTATTGTCTGTAGTTACTATTTRAAAGGTTAATCTCATTGCGCCAGGAGGTGCGTAAGGTGTGTAAGGCCAATTTTTAGCAAATAACTCAACCATAGCTTAAAAGACTTATAACATCCAATAATAATATTTCCYTCTGAAAATCATCTTGGATGCAATGCTAGCACAAATGCAAAAAGGTTAAAAACTACATCAAAAAAGTGTGATTTTGTATTTTCATCTTARCCTCRCATCCAAGATAATTTTGAGAATGGTTGATTAGCTAGTGGTTAGATCAACATACAAGTAACTACTTGTGGTTTAACATGACCATTTGATCTTCTTCTTGTTACTATTCMTTTTACCAGGATGTGGATTAGTTCTCCATTTGATCATAGAGTAGATCATATGATTCATTACTGCAGGGCTTAAAATAACAGCTGGTCATTAAACAATGTCAGGTCAAATGTTTGCCTTTCCCATCATTTTGACCAGTAACATTGAGCCAGAAATGTGGTATGACTGAACTAAAACTAACTTGATCTGTGATCATAACCGGCCACGGAATGGCTGTTAGGTTAGGCCCTGTTGCTAAGATGTTTGTGATGCACATCATTGTAACATTTTGATTACTGCTAGAAATGTGTAGTTCCAGAAATTATCCATACTCCCCCCTCCCCCCTCCAAAGAAGAATTTGGAATTTCCAAGGTGTAGAGGGGGGAGGGGGGGTCAGAGAAAGAACAAAATTACAGGGTTTGTATGGAAGAAAGTTGGAATTTCTGGGGGTAGGGGGGTCTGAAAAAAATTACTCTGTGGGCAGTATGGATAATTTCTGAAACCACACAATACTATGACACAGCACCCTTGTGGTCTTAAAAAGAGAGTTCCATGCTAAACATTTTTTACAGTTACTTAAAATCTACACACAATATTCATACTTTGAAAAAGCTGCTTTGCTGCTCAAAATAGCAACATGGCAGAAGTAGCTTGGGCATAACTTCTCTCCATCTCAGACCATCTGTCATTCCATTGAGTATCATTTCTTTGTTCAATAGTTGCACATGTGAAAATACATGGATATTTGATACAACTCAAACGCAATCTTATTTTCAAGAGAATGAAGCATGGTCTGAAATGGTTTGGGACTGCATTTGTGTGTTGAATGAAATAAGTGAAAAAGAAATGATACTTACATTTCAAATATTAGTTATTCATCAGGGCCCAGTTGTACAAAGGGTGCATAGTTTATCTGATCCTTATCCAGTGGATAAGTTGATGCTATTATCCAATAAATTTATCTGCAACATAAGATTTATCAATYGGATATTGCTWTCTACCCTTCGTACAACCAGGCCCAGAGTAAAAAGAAAAAAGGGAAAAAAGAAAAATGGGATAACATTATGCCCAAGCTGAAAGAGTGCAGTGTTCATTGGTTATCAGGGTAGTCACAATTTTGTGATCAACCAGTCTCCAAAGGCAAAAATTCTGTTTTGCAATTAAATATAATATACAAACTTTGAAAAAGGTTTTTTGGAAGCTGAGGGGGTAATAAGCAATAGTTCAGTTCAAGAATGGCATTATGGGAGTTCATCTAAACACAAGTAATCAAGGCCTTAAAAATAGCTTCCACAGCTACTAACAACACTGGATATCTCAGATATCTCAACACTAACTTCTGTGTTGAGTTGTAAATATTGTTCTTGATCAAGTTTATTATTATAAGGAGAATAACGTTAAGAAACTAGTCATTTCAGCTATTCTTGGAGTTTGGAACGTCATTGGAATCTCCTATTGCTTATCTATCATCTTTTGCTCTGRCAAMCTTTTTTGAAATGYGYATAAAATGTTCTAAATGMGTATAAYATGTTCTTTACCAAGTTTGTTTTATTCAGACGGGTTTGGGCTTCTGGTGTTTTTAATTGGACTAAGTCCAGMCTTGGGAATTTTTAAGAACAATCTATCTTCCTCTATCTTGGCCTCAAACTTGGTCACTTACTTATTTATTCATTTTAATATTTTTTTTTTGATCTGTGTGTGTTGATAGCATTAMGTATATATTATTATTGTGTCAATAAGATGAGTATTATAGCCATTTATATTATAGTGGTTTCTGCAGGTATGGGAAAAATAGGATGCTAATTTACTCTATATACATGGTATGAAACAAAAATGGTTTTCTTAGGATTCTATGCTTGTCATYCAATCACTGTTTAGTTAGGGTAGTATGGAGTTAATTACCGARAACGGAGGCAATAAGCCATATGTATAGGCTTATTGCCGAYRTTTGAGGTAATTAAGTATTTTATTTATCAATTGAGAAGGTTTTCTATCAATTGTTGCTCATYAYAAAYGTGAAGTCTATATATAGTTATTAACCGGGTCAATAACTAACTACTATATATTGACCTCGYATTTATAATGAGGGTTATAACAAAAATAAAGCCTTGTGAATAACAAAGAAAACCSTGTCAATTGAKAAATAAAGCATAGTTAGGATGCAAATATATCATATCATTTCTCACTCATGTSAAAAGTGCACGGTGATTATCATTATAATTATCATTCCTTAGAGTGAGTCGACTGCATCACAATTCTATATTATTCCTGTCATAAATTGGGATGAATCTCTTAGAATTATACTTTTTACGGATGATTTAAAGATTGAAACAGTATTTTGAATATCAAAAAGAAAAAGAATTTATGATCTTAACAGAGTCTATTTTTGTTTGATTTGTATTTGACAATATTTAAATCAGTTTGAAACAGTTTTTGGAATTMATCAATCCTTTTACGTATGTACTACATTTTATTAGGAGGGATCTTAGTCTTAGAAACTTAGAGAAAATCAACTTTTTGTTGAGACCCTGAATATTTGAAGATAAGGAGTAGGATTTTAGAAAATGGTTTTCCATGCCCAAAACAAATTTRTTTTGGTACATTTTCTCTTTGACACTTGCCTTTTTTCCTTTATTTCACTTGATTCAGAAAATATTTTTATAGACGTTTTCCAATC